CCTCATGCTGTTCTACGACTACGAGTTTGCCTTTCCCCCAGGAGTTTCTGTCTCCAAAGGGGGTGGGTTAGGGTTTTGGGATAAAGGCTGCTGTCAGTTTTTCCGAGGAAGCTCCCGGCACTTTGGGTAGCTCTGCTGAGTTTGGTGCCACGAAAATTCACGAGGATGCCGGCATGAGTGATTGGAGTCTTGTGACCATTGGTGATTTGTAGTTGTTCGGACTGCAGGGCTTGCTTGAGCAGTGCCTTGACACGACTGGCAGCACAACAGGGTTCATTACACGGATGCGAAACCCCAAATCCCAAAGCTTGAAAGCTTTGCAACCCTTGAGCCCTCAGCCCAGAAGCCCTGCGTGACATTCAGCCTTATGTCCTGAAGCCACGGAGCCATAAACACGAAATCACTCGAAGCGTGTAGAAGGCTCTCTGCTGGTAGCAGCCACATGTGACGTGTCGGTTCAACACAGAACAGCGGCAAGAGCAACAATGATGAAAGTACTGCGTAGTTATCCTGCTACCGACGAAATGTGCCAACGAATTCGCGGTATGCATACCTTGTCGCAGCCATCCAGAGACAGTGATACTCGCAAGAGTGGTAGTCGGTAGGAGTAGTAGAAGTAGTAGCAGCAGCACTGGCAGTAGTCCATGACCTGCACATCAACCCTTCCGGAAGTATCCTAGCATGGGGCACGCTTCCACGTTTATGCTCATGTGTCAACAGCTTCGAATGCACGAGAGTTTGTAGGGTGGGGCGTTGAAGCTTGAAGAGTTGTACGACAATCTCTCGACTCGTTTTCGCACCAGCTGTGGCAGGTGGACTACGTGGAGGCAGCCGGAGAAAGAAGGGATGCCGAGTAGGTCGATCCCTTCCACGGTACCGTACACTAGAACCTCGAACTCGAAAAGTGGTGTTATTCCTTGAAATCACCGTTGTCACGTTGGGGGGTGATCTCGCTGCCGCTTGGCGCCTCTTGTTTCTGTTGCTCCTGCTCCTGCTCCTGAACCCCGCAGTCGTAGCTGGGCTTTAAAAGGCGATGATGATTTCAGAGGTGTTTTCGACGAGTGTGTCTAGTGATTCGGGGAGTGTTTAAAAAGGGGAGATGATTAAAGCCGTAATTGAGAAATCCCAGGTTCTTTTTGGGTCATTCAGAAATCCCAGGTTCTTCTTGGGGTTATCACGAAATCCCAGGTTCTTCGTCGGTTCTACATAGGGGCACTTTGATTTTAGAGTCTTAATCATGCTTTGGGGATTTAGGGTGGGATTCTTCCTCGGATTCTTGATATGGGAGTTTCCGAAAGTAGGGGACCCCAATATAGTACTCCAAATAGTAGGATCCTTGTTATAAGGACCCAAAAATGAGGTACCCTCTATTTTCGGAAACTCCCAAATCCTAAACCCCAAGTGAAGGCTCCCAGTGCCTTTGCTCTAACCCTAAACCCTAAACCCTAAACCCTAAAGGGATGTAGGCCAAGCAGTTTTTTGAGTCACGCGGCGAGGCAGGTCTGAGGGTGCTTTTGTTTTGTTGGTTTAGGGGTTGACTTAGGCGTACTTAGAAATATTTTTTTTAATTTTTGGTTATTATAATCCCTAAGAAACAGCTAAAATTAAAATTTTTGCTAGGGTTCTAAGTTCAGTATAGTTGAGAGGTTAGGGTTCAGGGGTTTATAGGGTTTCCAGGTGTCGCTTCGTCCGCACAGGTACCAGTTGCGGGACTGCGCCGAAGTTCCGGATGAGTTCTTCGAAGTGCATGCTGTATACTGTAACTGTACCTTAACCCCACGTGACCTACCTGTTTAGGGATTTTATAAAGAAATCATTTTAGGGGGGGCCCTAAAAAGGTAGGTTCCTTAGGGTCCAGGTAATGATTACAAGGTAAAAAATCTGACCCTAGAGCCATAACCCCTACGCCCTAGAGGCTCCGAGACCCGATCGGAGAAGCCCGCGTAAAACCACTATGGCAGCCCTTGTATAGTCCCGTGTACTTAGAGGCCCAGGAGACTTAGTAAGTAGGTTACAAGCAGAGTTATAAGTGCCCTAAATGGAAGTGCCACAATGATAATTCTACTTATAACAGACTTATTTATAAGCCCCCTGGGCCTCTAAGTAGCACCCTAAACCCTAAACCCCTAAACCCCTAATCCCTAAACCCTAAACCCGTGTAGCAGGCTGATGCCAAAGCTCCCGATGCCCGGCTCTTGGAATGACGCACATCTGGTCTCTGAGGGTCCTCCACGTGGCTTGGTTCAGGGCTAGGGTTTGGGGGGGTTCAGGGCTTTAGGGTTTAGGGGGGGTTCGGTTTACGGGTTCGGAGCTTTAGGGTTTAGGGATTCAGTGCTTTTGGGAATCAGGCGTTCAGGGCTTTGGGGTTGAGGAGTTCAGGGCTTTAGGGTTAAGGGGCTGAGTTTTTAGGGTGCAGGGCTTGCGGCGGATTCGAGTTCAGGGAAAGCTTGGCCTCCCAGTGAGCCCTTTAGGGTTTAGGGGTATAGGGTTAAAGATTTAGGGGTTTAAGGGTTTAGGGTTTGAGGGTTTCGGGGTTTAGGTTTAGGGGTTTACCTTTTTTTCCATTTTTGTAGTCCCAGGTCCCTTATACAGTTACCCAATACCAAAACGGGAGCCTTTTTTATTCCTAGGTTGCTGAGCATCCTAGAAAGTCTTGTCAGGGCTTTATCTAAAACTGATTGGGATGGCTGCAGGTTTCGGTTCGTTGTTCGGGAAGTTACATATAGCAGGCACTGGCAAGCCTGGGGCAAGGGGTTCAGGCACCCGTGTTTCTGGCAACGGGGTGGTTGTCAAAATGATGGTTCCTTTTTGGGTCCTTAATATAATACGGCACCTATATTTAGGGTACTCAAGAAAAGACCATAATTTTGACAACTCCCCAAAGGGGTTTAGGGGTTCAGGGTTGCCTTCCAGGCGGTGGTGGGGTTGTGAGAACTTCCGGCTTCACGCATAGGTCCGAGGCCAGAGGCATCCTGTTCCTCCCTTTAACGCTTCATCTCTTAGCTCTCTTCTCCAGGCATACCATATCTAAAACTAGCATAACCTACTTATTTGTAGGTTCTTATTATAAACCCTAACATGGGACTTATAGGGACCCTACAAAAAAGTAGGTTTTGGTGGGTTAAGGTAGACTACAAGAAATGAAGCTGCACCTTAGTCTTTAAAACTCCAACATGTCGTTGCTGCAATGGGAGACTGTCAACAGCTCATTTTTGGAACCTGCATGGTTAGTACTGGTGTTCAGTTATAGCATACGTCAAGTATTTATCTAAGTCGCCCAAAACCTTATCATAGTTTTTTTTGCCGCCACTACCCCTAATGCCAGTGAATCTGTACGTAGAGTCGTGTATAAGCCTGACTTACTGCCATTCTCTAAGGTTCCTATAATCTTTATAGCGAAAAATCCACTCCAGACATTGTGTTACTTGCATCAGACCACCTTAGCCCGAAATCAAAGACAAACGAAGCCACAACCCTGAAAACCTAAAAATCAGTTCTCACAGCGAGCGCTTATGAGCGGTTCAGCTAGGCCTTGCGACTCCTAAAGCCTACAGATCTTTCAAAACTCCCGGCAAACCCTTAGAGTTTGAGGCGTCGGGTTTAAAGCTAAACCCGGCGCAATTCTCGATAACCCCCCAATTCAGCTTGAAGATAGAGTAATAATTATTCAACCCATAACATTACTGTAACTTTAAAGCCCTGGAATACGACCCGAATACAACCCAGGTAATGTAGAAGCCTGGACAAAGACTAATTTTTTCCTTGAGTTGGTATACTTATACTTAATTAGGCCCTTGCAGTAAATGCCAAACACCGTGTTGAGGATCATCTCAAGAGGGGCTTTTGCGGCATTTGGAGCCACGACATGTCCCTGGGCCTAAAAGTGCAAGCGTTTATAGGTGTTGCTGTACAGCAGACTATATCACTACTACAAGGGCTTTGGGGTTTAAGGATTTTGGGCTTAGGATCTAGATTGAAGCAGCGTTAAGCGGGAGAGGGGGGCGGCTTTCAGGGTATGTGATTTAGGTGCTGTCTGCACGGCTGGATCTACATCATCTTTCGCAAAATTGGCGAGTATAAGGTGTAGAGTTACTTCTATAGGCAGGAAACTTATCGGTCTCATATATGCTCTACAAGAAGCACTACAGGGAACAACTTGAATAAGCCAGCCGGTTTCCACTTCCCAAGTTTATGGAAGTGGGCCCGCCCTAAAGCACAATATAGGGGCCTTAATAATTAGAATAGGGTTTGGGGATATGTTATACCGAAATTAACTATAAAAAGGAACACCCCCCCCCCCCCCAACAAAAAGAAAAAAACACACACACACACATTTTATTTATGAAGGCCCCTACATTCGGGATTAGCGCCATCCCTCGGGTTAACGAAAGGCTCTTCGACTGCTCGGGCTTGGAAGTTTCGGAGCTCAGGGCTTAGGGGGTTCTATCTATTATAGGCTCTAAGGGGATCCCTTAAAAGGTCCTCTAGGGTTCTATGATAGGGTCCCTTTTTTAAAGAGTGCTATAGGTTCTATCTATCATAGGGTTCCCTTAGGGGGGATAGTTCTGAATTTCTGTAGTTTGGGGTTGAGGCTTTTATGGGGGTGGTTCTGAACTTTTTGTAGGTTGGGGTTGAGGGTTTAGCAGGGCGGGCATGTGCAGAGAGCACACCAAGCCGAGATAGGGTCCGATATTACATAGGAGTAAAACATTGACAAGGAATGTAACCCATAAGACTTAATGGTGTATACAATCCATATTACTAATACACACATATATACATATATACAGATATTGTATATATGTACATACATATATTATAGTAGTAGTTATGGAATCTAATGTCGAATGTATCATGGATTTCAGCGAATTACATGGTTTCGAGATCTCTGTAGATCGGACTGTTTGTAAGAACCTAGCCGTTCACAGGCCGACTCCCCGAATTCCAAAAGCTGGCGGCTCAAGCAGTAGTCCCTCACTGCAGCACCAGCTGCTGGGAGAATGATCGAGTTGTATTTCTTCACAGATCGGGCAGCCGCGAAAGACGCGGTACTTTTGCCCGCGCTCTGCCACGATGTGGCTCTTTTCTCCATAGCTTTACAGCTCTTTCTCCTTGTGCTGATCCTTTGCTATGTTTTTTTCAAGGCTCTGACCGAGCGCCTGGCCAACCTCTCGCGCGCAAGGAGCGCTGCAGCAGAGGAGGCCACAGACGAGCCGGCCCCAAAGTTCAGGATTGAGCTGCAGCGGCCGTGCAAATGCCTTCAGTTCGCGGTGAAGTGGGATCCCGACATGAGAAATATGATTAACTGTCTCAAAGAGGAGGGTGAGGAAGCCCTCACACCATTCTTCGAAAGTGAGGTCTTCATCTGGAAGCTGCGGAAGTACGTTCGCAACATGGTCTCAAGTGCTGACCGTTTGAACCTGAAGAGAGACGTGATCCAGCGTCGGCAACAGCAAGAGCTCAACGAAAGGACTGCCCAAAAGACGGCTGAGCAGGAGATGCAAGACCGACAAGCTCTGTTGGAGCTCTTCGGGCAAGTTGATCAACCAGTGGCGGCTGCTCAGGCACCAGTGGTACAAGAGCAGGCGCCTGTGGTGGCACCTTCGGAGAAGCCAGCAGCCTCTATTGGGGTGCCAGTTGTGGAACAAGCGGAAGACGCACCGGATCCATTCCTTGAGATGCTCGCTAAGACTTCACAAAAGAAGCCAACAGACTCCCAGATGTCCCCGGAAGATGCTGCTGCCCTGGCTTCCATGATGGCAGAGGGGCCTACAAGCAGCTTGACAGAAGCAGGAGAAGCGCCGAAGGCTTTTGGGCAGGTGCTCACCGAGACTTCGCAAGGGAAGCCAGTCGAAGCTCAAATGTCCCCCGAGGATGTTGCAGCGATGGCATCGATGATGGCAGAGAAGCCTCCAAGCATCACAAATGAAGCAGCTCAAGATGAGCAATCTGCGGCTGGAGAGTCGGCGGATGCCTTTATGACAATGCTGATGGAGACCTCCCGGAAGAAGCTAACGGACACGCAGATGACGCCAGAGGATGCAGCAGCAATGGCAGCCATGATGGCAGCAGAGCAGCCCTTGAAAGCAGAGGCACCGGATGTCCACAGAACCCTCAGTGAGAGCTCGGAGAAGAAGCCGATTGATGCTCAACTGTCACAGGAGGATGCTGCCGCCCTGGCATGTTTGATGGCAGAGGAACCCTCCAGCAACTCTACCGAAACACCGCAGGAAGAAGAGCCTTCGGCAGAAGAGTCCGCATGCAACACAGATGGTTGGGAAGGTGAGGACTTCTTTGCACACATCGACTCCAGCCTGCCGCCAGAGGAAGCAGCAGTCAAGCTCTTTGCAGCAATGGGAATCTCGCAAGACCTTGCATTCGTCACGAGTGCTCCTGTCGTGCCCACCAACACCATCGAAAGCGAGGATCCCTTCAAGAACTTTTGGGACAATTTGGATGATACCATGTCACCAGAACTGGTGGCGGCTAACCTCGTGCACACGGCCCAGCTCATAAAGGCCTACTGAACTATGCAAGTAGTGTTAAGTGCCAAAGTGCACCCAACAACCTGCGTGTAGAGCCGTCCAGGTTGGGCAGCGAACTCTATTGGTCACTGTGTAGTTGTCCTAGACAGACAAGCATTTAGTGGCTAGGGCTCCGATTCTGGATGATGTATATAAGGCCTGGCTCTACAACTGAAGGGGGAGTATATGATTGTAGGCACGGCTGGCGTGCCTTTATGGGAGTTTCCTGAAAATTAGGGGTACCTTATTTTGGGGTTCATATAATCAGGATCCTACTATGTAGGGTACTATATTAGGGTCCCCTATTTCCGAAACCCCCTGATTGGTTCGAGTGCATTGTGCAAGTGTCCGCTGTATGGTGTTGGCTGGCGCTTGTGCTTCAGGTCCAAGACCTCGCTGGTCAGCTAGTCACACAATCCCTACTTAGGGGTACTTAGAAACAATTTTTAATTTTTGGTTATTATAATCCCTAAGAAACAGCTAAAGTTCTAATTTTTGCTAGGGTTCTAAGTTCAGTAGAGCCTAATTGTGGAAACAAGTCCCTTGCCTGAAGCCTCGCCGTCCTCCTGCCATCTGACGGTTCGTCAGATGCAAACCTTACAGCCTGTCATCTCTAAGAGATTGACATCTTTAGCGAGACAAGGTCTCAGCACCGCAGACGAAACAGATCAGCTGCGCACGTAGATCTCTTGCTGTGCAAACCGATTTACTTTGGTTCAGCCCGACACCCCGCTGAGGGAAGTGCCCATGAAGAACGTTGTGATCCGCAGCTTGGAGGCCAGGGTATTTCGTGGGCTCTTTAATTTAGTAAGCTATGTTGTGGCACTACAGTTTGTTTTCGTACGTTATAGTATACTACAGTAGGTTGTAGTACAGTATGGTGTACTACAGTATCTTACGTATGATAATGTATCATCAATGTTAGCAGGGAGCCTGAATTGTGTATACCGGGGCGAGGGTTCGGGCCAAGTAGCCTGCACCCTGTACCCCGAAGCTACTAGACTACTCAGAGGCTCAGGGGACCAGAGTAGGTCCTTACCACGACAGGGTAACCCTAAACCCTAAACCTAGTACTCAGGGGACTTCGTAAGTATTTTATAAGTAGGGTTATACGTACCCTGAATGGAGCTACTCCAATTAAAACCCTACGTCTAACCGACTTGCTAAGTCCCCTAGGCCTTTGAGTCGGGTAGCCTTATATAAACCCTGTAGAAACCCTGATACATCCCCCTCACAGCTCCCAGGCCCGAAACCCTGCCTATTGCATTTATACCCGGATCCTTAAGCTACCATAGCCTATTTTTTGTAGTATAAACGCTAATATGGGGTTTAGAGGGGCCCTACAAAAAAGTAGGTTTTGGTGGGTTCAGGTAGGCCATGCCAGGTTAAGGTAAGAAAGCCAAAGCCCCAAACCAAATCGGAGTTTCCGAAAATTAGGGGTACCCTATTTTGGGGGTCCTTATAATAAGGATCCTACTATTTAGGGTACTATATTCGGGCCCCTATTTTCGGAAACTCCCAAATGACTGCATGTATCTGAGGCAATGTTGTCAGGTTTTGTTGAAGGCTCAGGGCATAGTTGCACGGTTACCATAAAGGGAACTCCAGAAAGTTGGAATATGGTTTCAGGGTAGGATACCCTGTAATTGACCATAAAGGGTTTAGGATAATCATATTCCAACTTTCTGGCTTTTACTTTATGCCGGTCAATTTTAGTTGGCTTTCGTGGAGGTCTTGGTGGTAGTCTTATCAGTCTTGGTTTCGGTTTCGGTTACATGGGTCTTTTACATAGCCCTATTTCTGCAATTATATCTGGCGGCTGTTGAGACTAGCCGTGCCCAAGACCGCCATCCTCCACCTCAATACGAAATGCATGCCCAATGGTCCCTTTCTTAGCAGGCCCTTAACAACAACCTGAGGCACACAACTTTATCCGCCAACTCCTATGCCCGAAACCCGAAACACCTAAGCCTACAGCCCCGAACTTTTAGTGCCTAGTAGTCGAGTAGGTAACCTTTAACCTGTTTTGGGTATTATAGTCCCTATATAACCCCTGTGTAACCAAAAAGGTTAACGTCTAGTTCCCCATGATACCCGACAAGTGGGAGTGGGACCTAGCTTAAACTACCATAACCTACTTATTTGTAGGTTCTTATTATAAACCCTAACATGGCATTTATAGGGACCCTACAAAAAAGTAGGTTTTGGTGGGTTAAGGTAGACCCTCAACCCCAAACCTAAGCCCTTCTCAACCCCACCCCAGCTAGGTAGGGCTTTGGGACATTTGATATTTTCCCTTATTGGGCTTAAGAGGATCTTATTTACTAATAGTTTTCAAAGGCTTTAAAAGCCCCACCTAGCCAGCTGTCGGCTTCACCGGCTCGGAAACACTCTGTTACAAATCCCCAAAAATATAGGGTTTTGGGTTGCTTCGCGAGGATGCCCGGTACTACCCTTATTCCCTTTTTGTAGTCCTAGCTTCCTTATAGATTTACCCAATACCACAAAGGGAGCCCTTCTTATTCCTAGGTTACTGGGCATCCTAGCATATAAACCCCCTTATAATGAAGCCCAATAAGGTAGGGATATCCCTAAAAGACTGTTTGTGCTTGTGTCCTTTTGGGGGTCCCCAGGGTTGAAGGCTCAAGATCCGCCAGATTAGTTGGTTCTGCAGCTTTTCGGGCTCTGCAGCTGGGTTCCTATGTAGGCCCCTACTTGGAGGCCCTTTTGACTTAGTAACTAGGATTAGTAAGCTGGGTTATGGGGATTATAATAGGGTTTCTAGGGGATACTAAGTAGACTTACTAAGTCAAAAGGGCCTCCAAGTATAGTCTAGCACCCTTATAGGTCTCCCCCTTGTCGTGACCCTTATAGTTCCCTTCAAAGGAGCTTAGAGCATAGGATAGAGTGTTCTCGGTCCATTGAAATCGGGTATAGCGTGTAGCCCTAAGGTGCATGTACCCAAATAGTATATACATTGGCCTTAATGTAGTCCCTATATAGGTACATTGGGCCCAAAGTATATACTATTTGGGTACATGGACCCTTAGGGTAGGGTTTAGGGTTCGGTTGTGGATTCCTTTGGAGCCCTGATCAGTAACCGGTGGTCTTAACCAGGTTCCTACACGCAAGTGCTCAAGCCCGGAACCCGAAACCTCTTAGATGGCATATGCGAGACTTTAAACTTTAAGGCTTCATGTTTTAGGTTTTAGGGTCTAAGGGTACAGGGCCCAACCCGCCCAGGACCCCTTTGATGGAGGCCTCGCGGTCCATAATAGAGGGTGTGTAGGGTATATGAGAGGATACGTAGTTGGTGGGTCTAGGACAACCCTCACCCTGAAAAGAACCGAAGACCCCAGATAATCGCTCATGAAGCTCGTGTAAAGCCTTGCAGAAGTTTAACTTACACGAAATTCTCTGCTAAATCCCCAAGCTGCGGAAGCCCCTCAAGCCCTGGAACCCCTGTAAAAACCCTAGTGGTCCATAGCAAAAGCACTGGGAGACTTCATTGGGGTTTAGGAATTGGGGGTTGGCCCTAAACCCCGAAACCCTAAACCCCTAAAACCTTGGCTCAGGGTTGGCCCCAATGAAGCCAAATCCCCGATCCGGGGTGTGGTAGAACGAATTTAGCCCTGAAGCCTGAGTACAACCTGAAACCTACGCTGTCAAAATTATGGCCCCTTTCGGGTCCTTATTTTTAGAAGGGACATAGTATTCAGGGTCTTCAAAAAGGGAAAGTAATGTTGACAACCACACACAAGCCTTTCTCTTCCCCATAACCCTAAACCCAGAATCCGAAGCATTATAAGACCTATATGGGTAGTTGCCAAAATTAGGGCCCCTTTTTGGGTACCCTAAATATTAGGTGCCGTATTATAACAGGGACCCAGAAAAAGGCCATAATATTGACAACCACCCATATAAGCCCCACAAGCCCAAACCCCGAACCCTAAGCCTATAACCTTAAACCCTTACTAGGATGCCCAGTAGTACCCTTATTCCCTTTTTGTAGTCCTAGGTTCCTTATAAAGTTACCCAATACCAAAAAGAGAGGCCTTTTTTTTCTTAGATTACTGGGTATCCTAGCTTATCAGCCTACAGCGCAGGACTTGGGAGGGAAAGCACCGATCTCGGCGGTGCAAGCAGACGAGCAGAAGAGCAAAGAGCAGGCGGCGAAAAGGGGTTCTTTCCAGCGGGTTCCCTTAGGGTTTTTCCTGTGGTTTAGGGTTTAGGGTTGTAGAAGAGATGATAAGAGTTCCAGTAGGGTTTCCAAGGTTCAGGGTCTTTTCGGACAGAGGTAGAGTACAGTATTCAGGATGTGTTTGCCGTCCAGGGCTCTACGTGGGTTTTTTTCCCAAAAGAAGGGTTGAGGTTCGCTGGCGCTTAGATGTTGGGTTGTGGTCAGTAGAGCTTTTGGATTTGTAGGGCGCAGGGCGTTTGGAGACGCTTTAGTTTTGAGGGCTTCGTTGCCGTTTGAAGTTGCTTGCATGCTCTTCTCTAAGGAGACGAGTACCATGATAGTAGGTACTTAGTAGATATTTGGGCCCCCAAAGTGGTAAACCCAAAGGGTCCATTTCATAGCATAGTATTGGGCGCCAAATATATACTAAGGACTTATAAGTGCCTACCTTAATGGTACTTGGGCCCTTTGGGCTACTCATTCCCAAACTCTCTAACATGTGGTGGGGCACCCTGAACACTCCGCCCCCAAAACCCTAAACCCTAAACCCGCAACCATTGAAGCAACCCTATACTTTAAACCCCAAGCCGATACATCCTCAGCCGCTCTGAATCCTACCTAGGGGCTCATACCCTCCCCCTTTTTTTAGCATACCGAGTTTTATGGTTAGGATCTGCTCTCTTGAAAAATAGGTGCCCTAAAGAGGGGGTAGGGTATGAGCCTCTAGGTACGCAATGACGAAGACTTTTGGAGAAGTCCCGAAGCTATATTCCCAAGCCGCCCTGCACAGGAGGCGTATGATGCACAAATGTCATCCCTGCTG